AATTTCAAAAACACAATAACTAATAACTATGAGTATAGTCAGCGGTGGTTAATCGGTGGACCAAATTTCTAACTAAAACCGATTGCCTCTCGGCATACACGCTCTAACCGTCAAATGTGGTTCTTTAAAGAAAAAGCACAGAATTGACAGTACTATACAGTTGCTTATGTTCTTGTGTACTCTTATTATAACATCCTTTATGCATATACTTTCATATAGCAGTGTATAAGTCAAATAACGGTACTTTTTTCTACAGCTATTTTTGAATTTATTTATAAATGTTTTATTGTATTCGGCATACAATGCATTTTATACAAAACTATGCACATACATAATAATATTTACGTGAGTACTGCTGCTTATAGAGGCAACATTTGTTTGTATGCGCATTCAAAAACCTCTTCTCTTCGTATGCGTAACTTTCGTTTTTAGCAAAAGCCTTGTAGTGTTGGCAGCTTATATAGATGCTATTTGAGCGGTGCCCCGTCGCTTGTAACTGACTGAGCAACAGTCATGGCAAAGTGAAAAGCAGGCAGCAAGTCAGCAGGAGCAACAAACATCGAGGCAATGCATATAAATACATGCATACAAACATACATACAAATAAAGTGAGATATGCGGCCGGGCAAGTAGTCAGACAGCGCTTTTGATTGCGATGCCACAAAAAGGGTTCATACAAACGCTCATAAAACATTTAGTGAGAAACAAAGTGAGACTTTTTCCCTCCAAGTGCATAGCAAACGCAGTTCAATGAGCAGAGTCGTTACCATGCATTCGGCGGGCCAACATGTCGTATACGTGTTAATCAAATTTGAATTGTAAAATAATTAAGTGAATTATTAGCAATTACTGTTCGATTACGGGACTATGTGAGCGTGTTAGTTTAATTTTCGTCAACATTTATTTTGTGTTGTGTTAAGTGCGATTTTTTCTTTTAATTTGAACTTATTTTGGTATGCGAATATTTGCATTGAATTGAAGGTGCACGATTGTGGAGAAGTGCTAATTGACGCTTTCGCTTTTACTTTAATAAAATCGTAAAGAAAATAAGCAAATTGCCGATGAATGTGTGTATTTTTTTTAATAAGGCAATAACTGTCCCTAAAACGTAGCAAATTAGATAAAGCAAACTACTAAATTCTGATTTCTGTATATATAATTCCAAAAAGAAAACAATATATATATATATACATATACACATACAATATAAAACACATTTTTTTAATTCAACACACTGCAGCTAAGTCACAAAAATACTAAAACTTCTATTTTTGTGCGCAGTTGCATTGATTTTGCCTTTGAGCAAAGTCACCGTGCCACAGAGCATTGTCATGCAACGAAACTGCACTTGGCTCGCTTGGCGCAAAGTGCATTTGTAGTTCTAAGTGCATATAGCTATATGCATATACATGCGTTATAAGTGCATATTAAGTGCTTAGCAGCCTTAATGTGCGACGAGCCGTATTAGTGACCCTTTTGCCGTGAGCCACTGCGCTACATAAAGAGATGAAATCAACTTAAGATTATTGTACTATATGCATCGTGAGTACATATTGATCTTGATTGAGGCATTTTCAGTTTTTTTTTATTAATACTTAAAATGATTTCGTATATTATGTGTATCAATTTGCAGTAAGAAAGTATTAAAGACACATAATTGGTGTAGCTTAACTGTGATATATATTAAAATACTTGTATTTATGTATGAGTTGAAGCAAAATTGAAACCAAAAGCAAGAAAAACCGTTAACTGCGGTTAACTACCGAAGCTAGAATGCCCTTCACATGATTTTGA